GTGGGACGTGCCTGATACCTCAGGAGACCTGGTCACTTCTGGAGATCCTGTTCGCTCTTCATGGCTAAGGAGAGCACCCAAGGCAACTGCTTTCCTATTCTAGCTCATTCAGGCACATCCCTGTGCTAAGGTGAGGCTGGGATGACTGGGTTTCACTGGTACAGACTGGGAACTGACCTTCTGGAGGGCAGTTCTGTAGAGAAGGACCTGGGGCGTCATGGTGGATGACAAGATGACCATGAGGCAGCAGTGTGCCCTGGTGGCCAAGAAGGCCAATGGGATCCTGGGGTGCATTAAGAAGAGCGTCTCCAGCAGGTGAAGAGAGCCGATTGTCCCCCTCTACGCAGGCCTGGTGAGGCCACATCTGGAGACCATGTCCAGTTCTGGGCTCCCCGGGACAAGAGGGATGTGGAGCTGCTGGAGAGAGTCCAGCGCAGGGCTACGAGGATGATCAGGGGCCTGGAACATCTGCCCTAGGAGGAAAGGCTGAGGGAGCTGGGTCTGTTCAGCCTGGAGAAGAGAAGGCTGAGGTGGAACCTGACCAGTGTCTACCGAAGGAGGCAGTGAGGAGGAGGGGGCAGCCTCTTTTCAGTGGTGGCCACTGACAGGACTAGAGGAAATGGCCATGACCTGAGGCACCAAAAGTTCTGCAGGAACAAAAGGAAAAATTTCTTGACTGTGCCAGAGCCCTGGAACAGGCTGCCCAGAGAGGTTGTGGAGTCTCCTTCTCTGGAGATCTTTAAAACCCGCTTGGATATGACCCTGTGCCACGTGCTTTAGGTAACCCTGCGTGTACAGGGGGGTTGGACTAGATGACCTCTAAAGGTCCCTTCCAACTGTAAGGATTCTATGACTCAAGAGCATCTCCCTCATCTCCTCTGACATTAGTGGATTGTATGGATGTGCTCTTTGGACAGAGCAGGAGCCATTGAGGAATATGCTGTCTTTTTCCATACCGTCCCTGCTCAGCTCATCATTGCAGGCAAATACTCTCAGTATAACAAAAAACATCTGGAGAAGCTCAGTTTTGCCAGCAGGGTTATTTGCCGGTGGGATTTTCTCTCCTGCATGGAGGCTTTAGCTCCTCTTGCCTGTCTTGCATGATTGAAGTGTGCCTGTCTCTTCCATTCCCGGATCTCATTTCAAAATGAGTGAACGGAAAGCCCCTTTCCACTTCACACCCCGTTTTTTGTGCACTTAATAACCCTTAAGTTGCTTTTTCCTCTTACAAACTTCTGTATATGAGATGCTGGAAGTAAGGGCTGAAGTTTTACCAGCACCATTTGGTCCTTGTTGGCCTTTTCCCAGGTGAGGAAACCACGTTCCTTCCTTCCAGCAACCCCATCCCAAGCTCCCTGCTGCAAGTTGGGAAGTTGGACTTCAATTTAAGCACCCATCATGTTCCAGTCTCCATACGCTACGCAGGATTGCACAGAGCAATGTAATGAAATGAGTGCTTCTAGCTAACGTGGAAGGGATGCAGTGAAGGTGACTGCTGTGACCTGGGATTTTTGGAGCCTGATGTTCGATTCCTGGAGCTCCTCCCATGGCCCCAGATGCCAGCGGATGCACGCAATGATGGAGAAGTGTGATGTGAGGCAGGCAGAGGATGCTGCTCCTTGGTGGGTGTGCAGGACTCTACTGTTTACTGTATTTTGGCCACACTGAAGCTCATACAATAGGGTTGAATAAACACAATTTTGCTTCCTGCCTGTGGGATGCAGCTACCTGCAGCTTGAGGAAAGTGGGATGCAGCCCATAGAGCCAGCAGCATCCATTCCCAAGCAGATTCAGTTGCCTTCAGCAATGCTGGGGTATCACTGATGTCCTACTGAAGTGCCCTGTCAGCGTGATCCGTCATGGAGCCACTTCCCTTACCTTCTTTACTCTGTCCTTTGGGTTGTCCTGGCTCCCTGCAGCCAGGAGCAGACATGTGGAAACGTGATCCTCCAGCCCACAGAAAGACCAAGGCAAGGCTGTAGGTTGGACAGATCATCGCTTGTTCCTCGAGGAACATCTGCTGAGGCAACTTTCCTCTAGCCTTCATGAAAGCCATGCCTGGTCCTGTAGCTCAGACCTTTGCCAGAAGGGATTCCTCAAGTGACAAAATCAATAAATTTGACTGAAATCAATGGGAATTTTCATCTCACGTTTGGGGATGGACCTTCCTTCCAGACTCCTCTGGATGAAGAAGCAGCAAAAAGCCTGGAAAGAGGCAGTGAAGTGCCAGCGACATGGTGCTTTTGCAGAGAAAAAACTATTGTTTGGATAAGATCTGCTGTTGAGAAGCTGGCTGAACCAAATGCCAGCTGGACAGAGCTGGTGTAGATGGGCAAAGCATCGGAAGGAGCTGGTGCATCTTGTGGGGCTGAAGGAGACGTCACCTCAGTCCTTGGACCGGAAGAGCTTTGGAGCTCTGCTTGGTGCTTGGATGGATGCAAAGCCTTCAGTGCCTGCTGCTGCCATCTCTTATGGGACACAACAACTTGTCCCTGCAGCAACCATCAATCCAAGTGCCACAATATTTTTGCATTTATTTCATGTCCTGCGCCAGCTTGTGATGGGATTTGGAAGCAAATCCAAAGACCTGGTTGCTGCTCCAGGATGAGGTAACTTTGCTTCTGTAGCCACTTAGGTTTGCAAGAGCCAGAGCAGTCTCCTAAAGCCAATCTGAGGCCACGCAACGTGCTTTATTCCGTCACCATCCCAAACCCTGCCCATGGTGTCCCTCTCCCTGGGCACAGTACCGTTTGCTTCTCTATGTACTCTGCATGACACATGAGATTTTTCTTTGAAGGGCTCCTCATGGCCATGGGCCATCCACAGCCACACGCAGCATCCACAGCCTGGCGCTCATCAGCGTGACGTGCCGGCTGTCGGGAAGGGGAGGAGTGGGATATTGTTGCGGCGCAGTGTCATGTTCCTTGGAAACACCAGCACTTCCTATTTTTGTGCCTTGGATTTCAAAACAACCCGTCGTGTCACTCGTATACCGAAAGCAAGGGGGGTTCCTGGTGCTGCTGGCTCCAGTGCAACGTGCTGCTCTTCTGCAAACAGAAGGTTCCTGCGGGCGCCCGTGAGCGGCAGGGTGAGGACACGCGCCTCGTGGAGAGGGGAACCGAGATAAACACAGTTTGGGGAAGTCGCTTCATCGGTGACGGAGCATGGCTAACGAAACCAGGAGTCCTGACACCAGCGCAGGGCTTTTAGCAGCTGGCTGCTGCTTGTTTGTGTATGCATATGTTGTTTTTTGTGGGGCATAAAAGACATAATGCAAAGTGGTGTTTATTATTTGAAGCTTCTGCAAAGAGTTGCGTTCCTATTGCTATACTGCAGCAGTATGTTGTGTGTTAGGAGACCACGTATATTGAGCCTTGCAAAAGTACAAGTGGCTCTTGCTTCCCAGGTCACCATCGTGGCTGCCACCTCCTCTCACCTCGTTGTTCCCCTCCTGGTGAGCGTTGCTTGTGGTCATCTCTTCCCTTTGCAAACAGGCTCTGAGTGATGGGACAGGCCACCAAACGTAGTCCCTGGTGTTGGCTGGCTGTCCTCCTCCTGTAGGAAACCTCTTCCTCACTGTGAACCTGGTGGTGGGTTTGATCCACCAGCAGGAGGTCTTTGCATCTCCATCCTGTCCAACACTGTAGACCAAAGTGTTGACTTTATCTGCTGGGTCTATCAGGCCAGCCTGCCTCCAGGGGGAAGAATTCCCTTGCAAAGCCAACTAGCTGGAGAGTTGGCCAATTAGCTGAGGTGCCCCATGACCTGTTGGAGCTCACCTGGGCATCTGTGCATGCACATGACATTGGTGACCAGGGCTAGCACTGCGTGTCCTTCGATGGGCAATGTTGGGATTTGGATGGATGGATCTCAATCCCAATGTTGGGATTTGGAAACGACGGGCTTTGAGAGGGTGAAACTTGTGCTCCAAAAGAGAAGCTGCTCGTTGTGTTGGGTCAGGGCGAGGAGCTCTATCCTGCAGTGAACTTCGTGTGTGGTGGGATTGGCCCTGGCCTTGGGGGAGCTCGAGGTGAGGATGGCCTTGGGAAGGCTTCTTCGCACACACAGTTTTGGTGACCAAGACACCGTCCCATCTTGGGACATGAGACCTCATGCATCAGCACTGGGGGCGGATTCATTCCAAGGCTGGACCTTCTTAATTAAAGGCAATAAATTAAGAATGAGGAGCACAGCCCTGGCTCCGTAGGAGGCCCAGTGTCTCATTCCTGACCTTTTTGTCAGCTTGTGGTGCTGACACACAGCTGGGAACTGGTGCATGCAGCTGTCCTGCCCTTGGAAATCGCTTGCCCTCCTCCTTGGAGCCAGAGACTGCTGCCTGGGTCCCTGCTTCCCTATCCACACAAGTTGCTGCTTCCTCACTTCTGCTGTCGGTTGCCAGTAATCGGCAAAAGGGTAAATGCTTTTCCCACAGCCACATTTCTTCTGCGTTCTGCATGGTGGGATGGGCCTTCAGGTGTCCTCAGGGCACGTGGCTCCTGTGCCATAGCTGCCCAGGGATGGGTGCTTGTCCTCAAGGACTGGATTTCTTCACCAGTCAGGCTTGCTGGTGGCTTCTGAGGTTTACTGGCTGTGATGCTTTCCTGGTTGCCTCCCAAATCCTGTGCATTTCCTGCAGGGAAGCTGCCTTCTCTCCATGATGCCCACTGGGAAATTTCCCCCAAAACTAGTAATTTTGCTTAAAGGCAACTTCAGGGCTTCTGTGAGCGGAGCTGAAGGAAGGGATTGCTGGGATGGAGGGTTTGCATGGTGACAAGCACCAGCGTGCACTAAGTCTGCGCGGTGTCTCCACCGATGGGACAGCATCCCCTGCCACCTCCCTAAGCGCAGGGCTCAATAGCAGACCCATCCATTGGGCCTCTTGCTTCATGCTTGCTCAGAACGGGTGATTTTAAAGAGTTCAATGTTTAAGAAGATGGTCATGAATAAAAGCTCGGTTCTGCAGTGTGGATGAGTTGTATTGGGAGAGAAGCTCACTGCAAATGACACGAAGGACCTTAAAACTCACGTGCATTTGTTTTCTCCGTGTGTGTCTCCCACAGGTTACAGCCAAAACTGCCTTCCTGTTCATCTTACCTCAGTACAACGTCAGTGTGCCTGCAGCAGGTAAGAGACGCTGATGCTGCGGAGAAAACTGGTGGGGATGTGCCCTGGCTCGGGGACCTATCCACTGCCAGAGAACACCCTTTAAATAAGAAGTGTCATGGGGAACCGGAGCTTGGGATGCTTAGTTCATGCTGCCCGTGACTGCTGGTCCTTGTACTGCTATAGGGTTTGGGAGGAAAAGCTTTCTTAGTGCCCAAGGGGGCTCGGTGTGCTCTCTGTGGACAAGAAGGTGTTGCCTGCTTGCAATCCCCAGGGTGGTTTTGTGCCCAGGTGGGATTTAGCCCTTTGCTCAAAGGCAAAAGCTGCCATGCAGGCAGGTTCTTCCCCTCTATTTCTGCACAGCATCTCGTGAAGTGGCTCCTCAGGACCAGGTGACGCACATCGTAACGCTGAGCGTCATAAAACCTACTTTATCCTTGGTCAACTAATACCTTAGAAATCTGTGTGGGATTTCTCCCCTTCCTCCAAGCCCTGTCAGTCCTCCTACCCAAGGGCTGACCCAGCCTCCTCCTGCCATCCTTTCCCGTTCGTGCCATCGCCCGGAGAGCTTTTCCCGGCATCTCCTCATGCAGTAACACATTGCTGCCAAAGGCCAGGGCTGGGAATAGCCGCTTAAGCATAGACGTCTGTCCTTATTTTGGTTGCTGGAGGGGATCTGGCCTCTGCCTGCTTCTCCAGAAGGGCAGGGCCTCCTGTGGGTCTTATTTCACAGCTCCAAGCTGCTGTCTGGGTTCTCCTGATAGCACCGGGTTGCAGCAACCTTCAGGAGCAAGTGAGAGATGCTGGATGTTGTATGACAGCAGGGAGATGATGTGTCCTGGAAGCTGTGGGATGTCCTGCATCTCCCTGCACATCCCTCTGAGAATTGCCAAATCCTAATGGTTTGAGTGAGCAAGGCCTGTTGCTGGCTTCTGCACTGCTTTAGTGTATTATTCGTTGTCTTAATCCCTGTGTTAGTGAGGACTTGTACCATTGATAAATTCCCCTATCTGCAGTAGGACTCTGTCTACCTCCAAAACCAGGTGACCCCATCCAAGCTGCACACTGGGAATAACTTCTGGCTTGGACTAAGCCTGAAGCTCTGCCTGGTCCATCCTTTGATTTGGTCCATCCTTTTGGTGTCTTTTGCAGATGGGGAGCTGGTCCATTACCACTACGGGCTGAAGGACCTGGTCACCATCCTCTTCTACATCTTCATAGCCATCATCCTGCATGCAGTGGTGCAGGAGTATGCCCTGGACGTGAGTCTAAGTAGCATCTTGGTGTCTAAATAGCAAACCCATGGGGAGGGCATGGGACACATGATTCCCTGCAGTTCAGTGCTGCTTTGAGGGTGGTCTCGGAGGTTGGGATGGAGACGTGGGAGCTTTGACCTCTGGGAGCTGCCTGGGAAGGAGTAGAGGAGGGAGACTTGTTGACGCAGCGGCTCCTGATTTTTCTTTTTCTTTATTTGTTTTTCTTTTTTTTCCCTTTTTTTCCCCATCTTTTTCCTCCCAGAAAATCAACAGGCGTCTCCATCTCTCCAAGGTCAAGCACAGCAAGTTCAACGAGTCGGGTCAGCTGGTTGCGTTCCACCTCACCTCCGCGCTCTGGTGCCTGTATGTCGTGGTGACGGTAAGGCCTGGCGTTTGCCTTCCCTCCTGCACACATGGATCTCGGTCCCTTTTCTGTGAGGATGGCTGGGAGTCCCAAACGGGGGACTCTGCTTCCAGACAACATCTCCAAGAGTTTCCGCTGCTGTCAGCTGCAGGGAAAAGGGAAGAACAAGTAGATGGGTTGAGAGCAGGGCATGATGCATTGCCTGGAGCCTGTGAGTTTCTCCTTATGTTACCATTGCCCATGGATGAACACAGCTCAGAAATGTGGGGAGATGCACCTAGCAGGTCTCCTCCCATGCTGGTGTTCCCTGTGCCCCCTTTTTTCTCTCCTCAGGGGTGAGCTTATTCAGAGGATATATCAGTGCAAGCCCAGGCAGCTTGTTGGGATGTTAAAGGCAGGTGGTTTGGAGCCCTGTCTGTGCTTTCAGCTGTCGTTGCACTTTGGGAATGTTGGAGGATCTGAGGCAGCCCTGGGAATGCGTGGCGAAGGGAATGACCCTGGGCACATCGTGTTTGGTACCCCAGAAAAGATGCACAATGCTGAGAGTTGTTTTATGTGTCTGGAAAGACAGACAGAAATGTCTTTCCACTTGCTCCTTTTCTGTTCTTTTTCCATATTGCCCATTGCAGCTGAATGGAAAAGAGGGTCTCCATGAGCCATGGAGCCTGGCATGTGGAAAATTTCCTTTTCTCTACAGGCACATGAGTGGCGAGAGCACCAGTCTGTTCTGTGGAAGCCCCTCGGGGACACAATGAGTTAAAGTGCCTCGGGACTTGTTGCCCAAAACATTCCCCTCTGTGCAGAGGGGAAGCAGAGCAAGGTGTTTGCTTGATTTTTCACTTTTCCAGTACAGTGGGTTTTTTCCAGGCTGTGAGCGAGCACAGTCCGGGGTCCCTTTTCCAGCTTTATGCAATGAAGAAGTAAATGGGCTGTGGAAAAAAAAAAAAAAAGAACATTGGAGTTAGACCCCAAAAGCTGTGCCTGTCCCTGTTGTCTCTAATTACTGCTTTGGGAGCTGCTTGCTTTCTTAGCCTGTTTTTTACCTCCGTATTTGCATTTAGTGCAGCTGGGATTTTAGGAAGCCCTTTGCAGGGATGTGGGGATAACGGGCCGGTGCTTGTGATCCCATGCTTGGCAAAGGGGAAAACTCAGCTCTGACTTGACTGCTCAGCCCATCGAACTGCTTCGTGGGGTGCTCCCCTGCAGCAGGGCAGTGAGGAGGAGAGGCTTTTGCAGAGCAATTGGGGCCTCTGGGTGTTTCTTTTGCTGTTGTTTTTCCTTTATTTTTCCTTGCGCTTTCCCCTCCGTTGCTCCTGTGCAAACACGCAGGGCCGGGGCTGTGCAAAGGTGCCCCGAGGGCTACGTCACCACCTGAAAGAGCCTTCCTAGCTCCCGACATGCTGCCTTGTGTCCCTGCCAGCACAGCACCTTGCCCTGGCCTCGCCGTGGCATCCGCTGTGAGTTTTGCAGAGAAAACGTTATGAATGAGGCCAAAACGGTGCTTATTTTCTTAATTTTTTTCCCTCTGGCATCTGGTTGTCAGGGATGGCATGTGGATGCGGGATGGCCGGTCCTCACCCTGCTGCTGTTTCAGATCTGGCCCTCTCTCCCCAGACCTACCTTGCTGGCTATTGCAGCCTCTTCATCTCTGTTTTTTTTTTTTTTTTTTTTTTTTAGAGCAATCCGGGCAAACGAGCTCATGCCCTCTTTATTTCCACACACACGTACAGTGGGAAGGGCTTTCGGCCTTGTTTGCTTTCCCCATGTTTCCAGGAACTCCGAGATCCGTCTAAAACGGGTCGCGTTGACGCAGCAAGTTCTGCAGCCAACCCTGGGCTTTGCAGAGCAGGTCGCTCCCTGCTTCCAAGTGTTGGGACCTTGATGTCAGGTTAAGTGAAGAGAGGGTGCAGGGGACGCAGACAAATGGGTCCCGCGCTGGATTTGTTTTCTGTGCAGCCGAAATGCCCAGCCCAGGATCAGGAGCCTGCATTGTCCGGTGTGGTGCAAGCGAGGAATGAGAAGGCGGCTCCGTCTTGTAACTTACCCTGCAAGCAAAAGGGCAACAGGCCGTAAGGGAATGCAGGCAGGGGGAGAATTAGATTATGCAATGCATGGTTAGTTATTTTTGTAAAGGTTTTCCAGTCCCCTCTTTCTCCAGAGGCTTTTTGGTTAGCTGGTGCTCAGGTAAGAACGCTGGTGTGGAAGAAGCCTCCTAGATGGGGCACATGGTTCCCTGTCCTGTGCCACCAGCATCCTGCTCCTTGTCCCTGGAGCTTGTGTGTCCCAAACCCCTAAGCATCCTATCCCAGCCTCAGAGCCCTCCGGCAGCCAGGGAAGCAACCTCGAAGTGTTGCCTCCAGTTCTGGGGCTTGTAGAGACCAAGGATGATGGCTGAGCTTTGGTGATCTCAGCCTTGCACCGACCAGGATGCAGTTTTTAGTGCGTGTAGGTTGTGGCAGCTCCAAAAGGACTTGGCCTTTGGTAGCCTTGCGGTGCCCATGTCTTGTGCTGAAAGTCTGCATCTCTTCTCTTTCAGGAAGGATATGTGTCCAACCCCCGGAGTCTGTGGGAAAGCTACCCTCATGTTTATCTTCCGTAAGCACTGACCGCTTCCTTCCTCTTCACGGTTTTCCCGGTGGCCAGGAAGCTGCATGCAGCCTCCTGCTCCCTCCTGCAAGGATGCCCCAGGGAGATCCTGCTTTTTAGCTGGCATGGGGTGGATGGTGGTTACCCTGTTTGCAGCTGTGGGGAGGGTGTTCCTGGAGGCAGGTTTGCCTGGGGCGCTTCCAAGATCCGTGACTCATCCACGCTGCTTATTCCCTACATCACCTGGGGCAAGATGCTTTATTTGCTCTTCGTTTTTCATAGCAGCAACAAAGAAGATGGGAGTTTAATCTGCTGCTCTTGGTATTTTGCAAGAGTAAGCATTACTCTTACCAAGCCCCAGTTTGCTGAGGGCTTGGAGACTACAGCATGAGCAGATGGACAAAATCCGGGTGTGACCAGCTCAGTTAAACATGTAATTTCAGTCCAGTAATGATTTGAAGCCACTAAATCTAGTGGCCACTAAATCTAGTGGCTTCAAAAAGGTTGAGAAATTGCCTGGTGCTCTGTGGTGGGCTCCAGCGCAGGCAGAAGCCTTCCCAGGCTCCTGAAGCTGAGGAGCCCCATGATCCCTCCACGCTCCTCATGCAGCTTGTCCCTGCATTTCAGGTTCCAGGTGAAGTTTTTCTACCTGTGCCAGCTGGCCTACTGGCTGCACGCGTTGCCAGAGCTCTACTTCCAGAAGGTCCGCAAGGTGAGGTGCTGGAAGCATCACCCGAGGCAGCTGGGGTGGTGCGGGACCATGGGCACCATCACTGGAGACAGTGATGAGCTTTGGGATTTGGAGGCAAAGCGTTGTTGAGGGATTTAACGCAGCCCCTTTCTGCCCTTCCAGGAGGAGATCCCTCGCCAGCTGCAGTACATTGCCCTCTACCTGGTGCACGTGGCCGGCGCCTACCTGCTCAAGTGAGTTGGCCACCTTGGCTTCCCTCCCTGCGCTGCGGCCGGGACACCTTGGCATGTCCATGGCATGTGCTGAGCTGCTCCTTTTGCAGGGCTGGGTCACCCTAAAAGCTTCAGCCAGTGGGAGTAAATAGGAGAAGAAGATTGTTTACCAAGTTGACTTGGAGAACTCCCTGCTGCGGGATGATAAGGCTGAACCATTTTCATGGACCCAGATAATTTTGAAGTTTGCAATGCATGGAAAGCAACTGTTAATCTGGAGACCCTTAGTCGAGACTAAAGAGTAAATTTTCCCTTTGTCACGGGAAGGTCTCTCCCATAGGATGCATTTCCATGCAGACAAACTCTTAACTCTCCTCTGGTCTGTACGGAGTAGCATTGCCAGGGTCTCCAATTTTGTTTTGGACTGGTCTCTTCCAGCCTCTGTTGCTGCTTTGGGCCACTTTATCACTTCATTGTTTTTGGGAGATTATCCTCCCACTGTGATCTTATGCAAAGAAGTCTGGATTTTGATCGGCACTTGCTGCAGTCAAGGAATTGCAAGGCAGATGATATAACCGCATATGAAGAACCAAGAGTGACCAGCCCAGTGATTCTTTTTTCTTCTCTCCTTTCTAGTTTAACGCGCTTGGGGCTGATCCTCTTGCTGCTGCAGTATTTAGCTGAATTCTTCTTCCACATGGCCCGTCTTGTCTACTTCACAGATGAGAACAACGAGAAGCTGTAAGTGGGAGAGCTGGTCATACTTTCCCTTCCCTTATACAGCTGATGTCTGCATAAGAGCTGCCCTCATCCTGAAGAGCGTGAAGGGGGGTCGCTCTCAACTTCCAACCCATGTTAGTGGGCAGAGACCTGGGAGGGAAGGGCAAGACCTACTTTGGGTCTCAGTTTTTGACAAGAGCCAGTTTAGGGGGTGTCGAGAGCAGGAATGAGGCTTGTTGAACTATGTTGTGCTCAATGGTGTGTTGGGTTGCTCTGCTCATGTTAAAGACGAGTACTGCCTGGCTGCTTTTCCTTCATGGACAAGGTACTGCTGAGGGCAAAGATGTCACAAAACCGGATCCCAAAAGAAGGGTGCTGAGCAGAAACTTGCTGTTTGGCAGCTAATACACTCTTCTAACCTCCAGTGAAGCGCTGGAGGATGAAGGCTGATGATGTGGACCTCTGCTGCGAATGATGTTTGGTCATGACCTGGCAGAGGCCTTTTATCACTCTGTGGTCTCCCCTGTCACCATCTGCCAGGACATCTGCTACTCAGCTGGCTGCACCTCGTGATGCTTATGCTGGGCCCTGCCAACATCTCTGTCTGTCTTCCCACAGGTTTAATGTCTGGGCTGTTGTGTTCGTGGTCACCAGGCTCTTCACCCTCACTCTTTACATTCTGGTCATTGGCTTTGGGCTGCCTCGGGTGGAGAACCAGGCTCTTGACCCTGAGAGAGGGAACTTCTTTAGCTTCCTCTTCAATAATGTCCTCTTCAGGTAAGGAGCTGTTATGTCCTCTACCATATGTGGGGGTGGTGGAGGCTGCCTTTGTATCATAATGCTTTCAAGTACACTTATGTAATGAGGAAGATACTGAGGCAGAACTGAGCTCTGAAGCCTCTCATGTAAGTTCCTTGGTGTTTCTTTCCCCGTGCTTGGTGTTGCTGAATTTGGAAACACCACCAGGGATCTGAAACTCCTTGGGCTGCCTCTAAGGAAGGTCTTAGTAAGCTGGGGTGGCAAGGAGGGAGCAAGGAAGGGTGAAGCCATGGTGGTGGGGAAAAGCCAACAAACACTGACCAGTTATAAAGGATGAGCTGAAGCAGGTATTTTAGAGACAGACCTGCAGGCCCTTCTTCTTGTACACTTAACTGCACTCACAGGCATGCAGCCAGTGTAAAGAAATTTTTTCTTCTGCTTGGAAATATTTTGCTGCCTATGAGTATGGGAACCAAGGGATAGAGTGAGTTCTCCAGAGCTTGCAGTCCATTCATCAAGACTGGGTGCCTTTCTTCACCAGGCAGTAGCTGCAGGTTCAGTTTAAAAGTCTTTAGGCCAGGTGCTCTGGGTCCGTTCAGTCATTCCCAAGCTTTTAGGAGCTGTGGGTTAGTGATAAGCTTGAAAGTTTGGAAGCTTTTCCTGGCTCCCTTCCAACCATATCCACCTTCTAGATGATTATACTGTAAAGGCAATACATTTCTATTGCCCGCTATGGCAGCCAAGGGCCATTTAGTCCTTTTCAGCCCGAAAGTCCTGTCATCTGAGAACTTCATGGTGAGTCAAAAAAGGGGAACAACTAGCTTGAGTCCAGGGCATAGCAGAAAGCAGAGATGCTGAGTAGATGGAGGCCCCATTTTCTGCTGGCACTAAGATCTGGACCAGCTTGTTTACTTGACTGGTTTCATTCATCAGTCAGTCCTGTTATGTGGGTCTCTTAGACAGGAAAGAAGCACAGATTTATCTTGAATTGGGATGCAGGGCTTTGCCAGAGCTGAAAAGGTCTCTTTCTCGGGCAGCTGGTGCCCAGGTGGCCATGCAGGCATCTTGTAGGGCTTTGGGACCTCACACACTGGCCCCACTGGGTTTTGGGAGCAGACCTCTTGCTTCCTCCAGGCTGGGTTCGTGGCGGCCTCGTTGCTCTGAATCTCAGCCTGCCTCTTCTCCGCCCCCGCCAGAATGAGTGTGCTGCTGTTGGTGTGCCTCTTCCAGGCCTCGGTGATGTGGCGCTTCATCCACTTCCAGCTGCGGCGCTGGAGGGAGTACTGGAATGAGCAGAGCGCCAGGAAGCGAGCCGCCGCGGCCGCCAGCGGTGCCAAGCAGCAAGCCAAGCCTCTCAAGAGGGACTCGGGTGAGTGTTGCGGGCAGGAGGCCCTTTCAGGGATGGTGGAGGTTGGGATGGGGTGGTGCTACGTTGCAGCGTGGTGTCTGCAATGTCACCTCTGCCAAGAGCTGCCCATGGTGATGATTCCTGATGCTCCTTGATGAGCCTGGGAGATCCCTAGTGGGGTTGTGTCCAGGGGGCCGTGGCTCCAAGATGGTAGTATTTCTCCCTGTGTTTATGGGCTACCTCAACGAAGCTAAGGCCCTGTGAGTTTTGACTTTTTGCTTCAAGCCTGGGCAAAGTTGTGGCCCCCGTGGGGTGATGTGGAACATCCTGTTGTCCTTCTGCCCTGTCCCCAGGTTACCATGAAAACGGAGTGGTGAAAGCTGAGAACGGGACATCACCACGCACCAAGAAGCTCAAATCACCATAGAAGCAGAGGCTTGTCTGTTAGGGAGGAGGACAAGACACCAGGACTAAGAACCAGCCCCTCCTTCCCTGTCCACACGAGAGTCATCTTGAGTGGTTTGGAGACCTGACATCTTCACAAGGTGTCTCTCACTCCCCTCCCTTCCTTTCCTGCTCTCTTGAACCATTTGCAATAAAACCAAAAAGGTCCCTTTCCCCTACTCCCTCCTCTTCATATAGGAGTGTGTTACAGACCTCCTGTTTTTGTCTTCCTCTTTTTCTCTGTAAGTCGGTGTGCAATTTTTTTTCTATTTTAGTGTTTGTTTTTGGTTATTTTTTATGAATGCATCATAGATGGTTCCAAACAATCCTTTTGTTGTCTTCCACAGCGTGTTTCTCCCCTCCCTTTGTGCTACTCCTAGGGATCAGGGACACGGCAGCCTGAAGGCACTGCGTGTCTGGGATGAGAGGAAGGTGATGGGGCTCTGTGCTCAGTCGTGGCTGTGACCATTAGGTTCAGGGGTGTTTGTGGGTGATGATTGCCTCTCCGGGGACACATCCATTGAGCGCTTGGCAAGAGCTGCAGGATGCTGATGCTGCAAATACGTGCCAGGATCCAGAGGAGGAGACTTGTTTCACAGTGGACTTTGGATAGATGGGGCTTCATCCAACCTCTGTTTTTCAGCTAATTTTAGAGAGCTGTGCAGCATAGAAGGGAGAAAAGTTCTCTCCTTGTACAGAATCCCCATCCTAGTCTTCGCTTGCCTTAGCTATCATGGTACAGCTGGTCCCTCTTTTCTTCTTGGCTGCTGGGTGTGAGCTGCCCCTATAGCTGTCCTGGACCTCCCAGTACTGAGAGCTGGGCTTCATGCTTTGCAGCTCTTTAATGCCTTGTCATGGGAGCAGTTGCATCCTCAGGTCCAGGGTGCGTGAAGTCTTGTGTCCTGCCCAACTCTATGAGCACACTTGTCGGCTGGCCTGGGTCCCAGCAGACCAGGCCCTTTGCTTACTTGAGGGTATCTCATGGACCTAGTGTTCTCATGGCTCTTTAACCATGTCCAGATGAGCAAACTGGCTGCTGCGAAGGGTTTTGCGTTAATGGGACTGTGATCTTCATGCAACCACCTTAGCCTTCCTTATCCCTACCATACCAGTCCAGCTGTGCCATCTGCAGCCATCAGCTCCTCTCTTTGTTTCCAAAGGGATACAGAACTTGTATCCACTCAAGGTGCTATCAAATGCAGGGTTTCTTCCAAAAACCCAGCCCCTTCATCCCTTTCTGAGCTGTGAATGAGATGATAGGGAAGGGAAAGGAAGTCAGGGGCTGCAAAAAGTAGCTTGTACATTAGGAAAGGCCTGACCTGTGACACCTAGCTGTTGTCAGGTGGAGTTGTCCCATATCTACCTCAAAGGCCATCTGTTCCTACAGACCACTTTTCCCTCTTGCTCCTGCCTGTTGCCATCTCTACACGTTGGTGGGAGGTTCATGGGAACCAGCTTGGTCCCCTGCTGCCCCATTGCTGGAGAGTAGCATCTCCTGCCCTGTGTTTCATGCGTCAGTGCCAGCTCGCTGAGCGGTGGGCCTCCTTTTGGTGCCGTGCACCAGTCCAGATTTGGCAGATGCGCAGTAGATGTGCACCTCTCACCCCGCAGCTCTCCCCCGGGGGAGTTTCTCTAGCTGGGCTTTGCTGTTGGTGCCTCTTGTGCAGCAAAGCCAGCTGTAGCTTTCGTTCTGCTTCACTGTGGCAGGAGCAGGTGACCTTTCGGCTGGCTGAGAAGAGGTTGCATGGGGTCAAGGAGAGCAAAGGCACTCCTTGGTATGCAAGTAGAGTTTGAAACCTGTCTTTCTTGCAGGTGAGGGGGATGCGTGATCTCTTGGCGTGCTCCTTGCTCAGCCCTTTGCCCCGTTGAACTCCTTGACTCTCTCTGAGCATGGTTCTTGCCTTGTGTGTGAGGCTGTAGCAGTGTTGTCATTCAGATGAAGGTGTCATGCTTTGAGGAATAGGTGACAATCGATTTTTTTCTGACACTCTTTATGTATAAGACTTTTATTCTATTGGTGTATTTGCCCTCTCTTCCCCTCTCCTTGTTGAGCCCCAGCTAATGCTGGGCATGAGATGGAGAAAATAATGCAATAACTTGAGTACAGTTGGACAAATTCCTGCTTATTCCTCCATCCCCATGACTGAATGTCAAACAAGACGTCAGCAGCAACTGGGGAGAGGGGTTCCCGTGTTTCTAGGGGAAGAAACAAACTTTGGGGCAGATTTCTGGCAGTACCTTCTAATTGCTCCTTTTAGTCATTGCCAGAGAGATAATATAACTTCTGGCTTGAACGGAGACTGCAACGGTGTCTGCAGAGCAACAGGATAGGAGAGGAAAAGAGCTTTATGTTAGGGAGGACACAGAAAAGGCCTCATGTGAAAGGCCCATCCGTTCTTCTGCCTTCCTTTCGGAGCCATCTGCTGCCATCTGCCCTCCAAAGAGCCACTGCCGGCTGGCACCTCTCCACAGCCTTAGCTGGTCCTTTCTACAAAGCAGGTGCCTTGCACCAGCTGAGGGTTTGACTCCGTGTTAACAGGTGACACACACAATCCCCCAAAAAAACCAGGCTGCTGAATAATTCCTCTTCCTGCCTGCTTAGCTTCAGGCAGCTTTTCCACTTGCACAATCTTGCGTCTTCATGAAGTAGCTTATTAGGTTTTGTATCCCAAGTGCCTTATGTTGCCACGTAGCCTCTTGTACTCTTGATCTGTGTACTATATCAGTAGCTATACGCCCTCCCTTTGTACAACATATGTATGACATATGCTATGTTTATGGTTTTTTAATGGATAGAGATACCAGAAAAAGGGACAGTTTGTTTTGGAAGCATCTCCATGGTTTTTTTCTTTATCCAGTAGGATGGGAGGGGGGTTAGTAAATACATCTCCCATGTATTTAGTCCTCTGAAATCCCCTTTCTTCTCCTGTTGTGCTCAAGTGCAGTGTGGTCCATAGGGTGTTATTTTTGTTTTGTTTTGGGTTTTTTTTGTGCTGAGCCTTTGTTGTAATGCGCTATCAACTGTCATTCCAGAGGTTTGCAGTCCCCTGTCAGTCAGAGGGGCCAGCACAGGCTGCCTCTCTGTTTGTCTTCATATGAACACCATCCTTTGGCTGCAGTAACCAGTTCTCCAGCCATGGCTTTTCTACTGTCATGGAGAAGCAGACCAAGGCTTCTCTCCAGCCCAAAGAGCTTTATATATACATATATATACATATATATAAAAATATATGTATATATTTTGCCTACAAGTTCCTAATGGTCAGCCTTTGCTTGACCATTCTTCATACAAAGATGCTGAGACCACTTCTCTCAAGTGGATGCTCTTCTCATAGCCCATCTTGTCAAGCCCTTCATCTTTTTGTAAAAATAAAATAAAAATGAAACCACATAGAGGAGCTCCTGTCCACCACAGGGTGGAAAGTGTTAGAGACTCTGCAAAATTGCAAGTCCCAACTTTTTTGTATAACACTATTGCTTGCTCAGCACCCTTCCTTATTGGCTTGTGACTGCTTCTGTAGTTTGTGTCTCTTATCCAACCTGAGAAGGCCAGGAATCAAGTAGTCTGTGATTTCTTCCATGTAAAACAGAGTGTTTTCCTGCCCCTATCCTAGAAAATATTTGAAGAACCAGTTCTCCCTTCCTGTCACGGTAGGGAATAGGTTTGGGAAGAGAAAGGGGTGGAGGAAGAACAGATGTAGCATTTCACATTTAATTTTTGAGTGATTCCTAAATAATGGGGCATTACAGTTGCTTTTTTTTTTTTTTTTTTAGGATTCTTTTTTCTTATCCATCACATGTGGGGTTGCTAAAAAGATGAGTTCCAGTTCCCCTCTCTATCCCTCTACATTTAACTCGCCATTTAAAAATGTGTTTTGTCAGGCTTCTCTGTTGGAGTCGAGGTCGGGAGAAAGACTATTCTAGGAAGCTTCCCCTACAAGGTGGTCTTGAAGGTTGTAGATGTGCTTCATTGCAGTAAATGGGGGTTTAACAGCAGCGCCTGACTCTTGTCGTAGGTGAAGTCTTGGTAGATGGAGTCTTGTTTGACTTGCATCAACAGCAGATGGAGACTATAGTGGTCTGACCATCGTCTTTCTGCAAACTTCATGAGTGTGTCGTTTTGGCAGGCTTTTATGAAACTGTGAAGTATGTTTCTGAGTCTTTAGGCTGTGTGTTTTTTCTTTTTTTTCCCCTTTTTTTTCCAGCAGTGGGGAAGAATGGACATTGTAAAAGCTATATAGGGGCACAAAGCTTTCCTCCAGACACTCTTGAACTCCATGGACCAAGCTTCAGCAAAGGAACTCAAGGAATATTCTGTTCTGTTCTTCCATATTTATGCTTTAGTGTGAACTTCCTAATTTTGAAAGGGGTTGGGGGAAGTAACGGTCTCAGATTTTTTATCCCATTTGTTTCATTTTTTTTCCTGTCACTTAAGGTTTTTTTGTATGGATTTTTTGATGTTTGTTGTTAAATGACTTTTGTGTTAAACTCAGCAAAAGTATTTTCTGAAATAAACAAATAAAAGGCATAGATTCTTCCACTGCTGCTGTTCACTGATGCTTCATCACTCCACTAAGCTGTGTTTGTGTTTGTGAAGTGGGTTGGGATGGGGTTTACATAATTTTTCTCCCTCCGTGCCATGCCAGACTAGTCTGCTCCCTTTGGTGCAGCATGTTGTATCCTCACATACCATATGGGGATCATTTTTCTCAATGAAAAATGACAGAGGACAGCTGCTTCTGAGTTAATTTTCTCTGGCTCCCTTGATAGTTGGGAGTGGAGGATAAGGGCATTTGAAGGGTGTGATTTATCTGATGTGGTTTAAGTGCATTCTTTATAAAGAGATAAATTGCATGCTTTCTGCAGCTGGCCCTGGGCACGCTACATGATTTGGTTGAGTATTGGGTTACAGTTCATAGCATGTACAGAAAAGAAATTCTGATTTTTCTAGTCTATGGCCTAGAGCTCCAATAATCTCACCTGTAAAGTCCCTGGCCTCTCTGGAAAAACTGATTAGGGAGCCCTTTAGAAGTCAGTCTTCATCAGCTGCAGCCTGGAGGGCACCTGACACAAACACAAGCCATGTTTTGAAATTTGAGGTTGACCACAGATAGCTTTAGTGATTCCCAGTTGGAGTTAACAGCCGCAGCAATGGACCTGAAAGGAACCAAGTGCTTTTGGAACAAGAGACAGGAGGGAGATGTCATATGGAGACCCTCAGCCATCTAAGGGGAAGCAGGAATCCACAGCACAAAAGGTCAAGCTGATTAAAATAAGCATTTTGTTCCAAGGAGCTTTGTTCTCCAACCTGTGTAAGACAGCTGCTGTCTTTCATAGATGCTCAGGGGCAATACCATGCAGGTGACAGAAACCTTCTCACCACAGTTGATATGTTTACCTTCATGGAGAGATAAGCAATCTAACTCTTTAAATGGAGCTAAAATGTTATATTTTTTTTGCTAAGCTGCCTGCTCGCTTTTTTTCTCTCACTGGACCTATCTGGTGTAGAGACAGGCTCTGTGAAATGGGTTTAGATGGTATCTCTGCCCCCAAACCTTTCTCCTACCCTTATGTTAAAAATACAAGGCTGCTACCAGATTTGTCTACAGACCCATACTATTTCCATGAGCTATGTAAGAGCCAAAGCTTCCATTCCATTTTAAATACACTTCGAATCACATTTTTTTTCTCATTTTTAATCCTTAGCTATTACAGGCACAGAGGTATTTTTATTTAAAGCAGACTTATTAACTCTTTTACAGCAGCTGTGCGTGACCTGTTTATATTCATACTTGCTAGTCTGAATGCATCATGTCATGGAAGGGCCTTTTGTCCTGCTGAAATACAAATTATAACTTAAACTGGCAGTCTTTGCTTCTTGAAGATGAAAGGTCCCTTTAGACTGTATAGGATAAATCTAAAATGCTTATCGGACTATACTTTAGAGAGCTTTAGTTCTTGCCAGCTTTGCTGTACTTCATTCGAAAAAAAGGAGGTCAGTAGGAGAACCTGGCTTTGGTTCTCTGAAGTTTTCTTTCTGTGAGTTTTAATCAAGATACAGCATCTGTGAGGTTGAGATTGGTGGTAGGTTTAAAAAAATAAGTAAAATTGAAGTGAGGGTGAGATTAGTTGCCTCTAGTGAAGAAAGGAGGGGGGAAATGAATGAAGCAGAGGGAGTTAAACTGCAGCAATCCTTTGAAGTATGGTATCTTAAACTCTGTTCAGAATGTCATTGCTGGTCCTGCTTGTGCTTCATCTTCTGGGGTAAGATCAAGAGGGGAAGGCTCTAAGGAAGTCACCGTAGTTTATCTTGTTTTCTCCACAAGAACATAGGCCAATCAGCTGTGAGGGAAAAAAAAAAGAAAGAACACATCATAAAGACTTGGAAGA